ACAGCATGGCTTGCCAAGCAGTGCGTCGGTGCGCGCCCGGGATCCGAACCAGCGAACCCCGGGCCGCCGCAGCGGAGCGCGCGCGCACTTAACCGCTTATAGCAAGCCTTTTTTATTTGTGATGTGCACAGGATTCATTAATGTGTAATTGTCCACGGTTTCTCCCCCTCCCCCATCTTTCAGTAGAGCAAATTGAGAAAAGAGCTGGTGATTGGAAGCCAGGCAGGGGAACTAGACTAAGCTGGAGATTATGTCCACTTGCACAAACAAGACTTGGAGATGAGGAGGAAGGAATCAGAGGGAGACAACCCACCAATGTCAGGAGAGGGTTTTGGAGATTTAATAGTGGGAGGCTCCAAAGTGGCTGCAAATGAACTGGAGGAGAGAAGGGAGTTTTTGTGATGCTGTAGCTTATAAATTGATATTTTTGAGAGACATATAAAAACTGGAATCTCTTTTGATGACTTTTTACTGCTGGATTATGTTTATTTATATGTGACTCTGTAAAATTTGTGGAGCCTTGGCTTTTTTGAAATTAGGATTACGTATAAAGTTTACTGAGTATGAATAATCAGTGTATCTTTATTATATCTTTAGTTATTTGAAAATGTGCCTCTGACCTATTTGATGGTAAATGTTCTGTTCTTATACAAATTATTTGATGGTTACTGTTCTTATACAAATTATTAGATGCAATGGGTCATTCAGTTTGTAAACAAACTATTAAATTGTTGTAAGTAGAAATCTTCCTTATATTTGAAATGCAAACTTTTCTATTTATCACCTGTATTTACCAGTGATCCTATTTTAATGGATAATTTGTAATAGATAATTATATGTCATTTTTTCTGTATTTAAGAAAAAAACTTAGCTTTGTTCATTTTTCTAATATGTAGAGAAAATAATTTTGAATTGTTTAATTAAAAAGCCACTTTCTTAATATACAGATTTCTATTCTGACTCTATGTTCATGTAATTATAGCACACAATAGAGAAATATGAATTGTTTATTTTAAGCATAACTCCCTCAAATCTGATTCGTTAGGAAAGTTTTATAAAATATCTTTCCATTTCTTCTGAAAAGTTAATATTTAGTTTAGTTTGTAAGGCTACAAACTAAGTTTGAAGGCTTTTTACCATTTTAAACTAAGTTTGTAAGGTTTCTTACCATTTTACAGTTGAAGAAATTAAAACTTAGAGTAAGGCTATTGCTCAAGGTTATACAGCTAATAAGTAACAGAGCCAAGTTTTCAATCCAGATCCATTTCTAAATTCCATGTTTTTTTACCATTAATATATCCTTAATAAGATTTGAGGACCATTCAGATGTGAAGGGAGAGGAAGTTATAGAAGTCCCTGAGGACAGAGTAGATAACAAGAAGTCCTAAATAGAACAGTTGCACCAGAATCCACTTTACTTGTCACCATTTTCTAGTTTAGCTTGAAATGCTAGAGATTTAGCCCTTTGTTAAAGGTTAGCATTTTCACTGAATTATCTCTTGTCAAGTTACTTAAAAACTTAGGACATAACTTGATTGGTGCATTCATACATCAAACAATGATGTTGTTTAGGAA